GTTTATATATAATCATTATTGGATCCACTCTTTGATGCAAAAGTATACAAGTGATGCGATACTTCGATTTAGAGTCACTCGATTTACTACAAATTTTATTACCTTAAAGTCACTACAACAATGGTCTGATTTTAGATGTAAGGCCTTAAGGCAATAGTCACCTCACAAGAATGATCTAATTTCAAAATTTCAAGATTAAGTGATGAAAAAAAGATAAAAAAGAATATTCTTTCTTCAAGATTTTAGAATATCATAAATAAAATCATAACAAGAGTGGAACAAATTTTTGTTGTCCTCCGTAAGATCGACATGGACAAGTGTCCCCAAATGTCTTATCTTAGATATATGCTGATTATAACAAAATGAGGTCAAGAAAGCCTTCATAGATTATTTTAAGGTCGATCAATACTTATAGATTATTGATTATAGAATTTAAGTTCATATGAACCAAGACATCCATAATGCAAATAAATTCATATTCAATGTAATTTAATTCATAATTTTTTAATATTTAAAAGTATTTTACTAATAAAATTATTTGCCTTACAATGTATTATCTAAATCTAACCATTCAATTTTAGTATTGTCTTGGAACGTTATCAGATTTATTGTTGATACTAAAAATATTATATAGTGACTTTTGTAGAACACTACCTATATAACCAATGCTATTATGGAAAGTTGACTATTTCAAGAAATAATTAGTTTATTGTTTAACATTATAACTGTATTGTGTCATTATAATATGGATAGAAAAAGTTATTCATACATTGATTATAAATTATATTTTACTTTAATTATTAGTTATACTAAATAAAGTCCTATATATATCTTATAAATTATATTTTACTTTAATTATTAGTTATACTAAATAAAGTCCTATATATATCTTTATGTAATCGAGTAGTGGTTACAATTTGAAGAAGATATACTAAATTTAGAGATGGTTGTCATCCATGTACTTTCACATATGATGATACTTAGTGGTTGTGAATATAATTGGCCAATGTTCGTATTAATTTATACAAAAGTCGATAACATACTATATAATAGACGATTGGAGTAACTAGTATATATTCACTATAACATATGGCCAAGATTATGGTGTTCCGAGTTGGACAAGGAGCTAGAGGAACAAAAAAATGATCTCTTCCATCTCCAATACTACAATAAAGATTTAAAGCCAATGTTAGAGTGGGTTGAAACAATGAAAAACCAATAGGATCCTCTATTTGATGAGATAAAAAAATCCTTTACGTTCTTCGTGTTTTATCACCATGACAATAAAAGAAGAGGAAATATATCTCTAGTAGGAAGAAGATCCCCCTTGGTTAGATCGTGGTGAAAGGAGCCAAATAATATTGAGTTATATTGCTTAAGGAAATAGAAAGCAATATAACATGGAATAGAAACCTAACCATCATAGTTATTTGCCCAACTTGCAATGGCAAAAGCAAAGGGGAAGATAATAGATAGCGATGCCTCGATTGAGGATGGCAACGATATCGGGGAGTCGATAATCTCGTCTACACATCTTGAGGGTAGTTGCATAGACCATGGAGTAGTATTTTAATCTGCCACCCAAAATTCAATTCATGGAGCTCGATAATGTACTAGTCAAGTTTATACACAAAAGAGAAAGGGGAAGATAATGAATGATTTTGAGTAAATGTGACAGAGCCTACATGACGTAGACACAGAACAAAGCTTATCATATTTATAGTCATCATATTACGAAGAATCTTATAGGCAATAGTAGTATGGTGATAGTTAATTATTTTTTTCCGAGCAATAGTATGGTGATTGATGTTATTCGTGCTCCACACTAATACATGTCGTAATCGTCCTTGTCTCATGAGTTATCTTGGACATATGTGGATTATGATAATCAGACTACAATCATCACCATATTGATGCACCAATGACATATGATACATCGATATACTATGTCATAGGATCAATTTTAAGATTGAGTCCAATCAATATATCAAATTGATATATAAATACATAGGATTGAGAACCTTGATCTACCATTCGCAGAATCACATCATTCTTTTTTATGATAAAACCAAGTATATTTATCAATTGATTACTTAATTCATTTGAATGTTAAAGTTTAAGTTATTTAAAAATAATAATCTAATAATTCAAATCATTACTTTGTAGATAATTTAATATCAATGGAAGAACAATATGAAACGTACCATAAAACTACTTCTGAAAGCCCAAAAAAGATATATCATTATTTTTTTCTAATTTAAATTATTTTTTCTCAAAATTATACTAAATTTATATTTATTTCTAACTTAAAAATCTTAATCTAATTTTTTTTATTTTTTATTTTTTTGTTTTATGTTTGGTATTTTTTTTTTTACCGTTGATATGTCCTATCGTACCAACATATGATAAGTTGGTATGGATTAATTAATACATATCAATAAGGTGAATCTTGACAAGTGTTTCATATATCATGTAATTAAAACACTTAAACACTAACCAAAATATTGTAGCGCTAACCAAAGCACTATAATATATAACCAAAATATTATTGTATCATGTAACCAAAACAATATAACGATATTGTAAAATATTGTAACATGCTTGGATAGACTCCTAACGTTATATAATGAATCGAGCACATGGATTCCAGATTAAGTCATAACCTCATAATCAGTTACAAAATTATTCGGCAAAAACCTAATTTCTATTACACCTAGGTTCTAATATCTACGAAATCATATTAAGCTAGGGCAAAATTGAATACTACCTTTACGAAAACATAGGTCAAAAAAGAAAGAGCATAAACAAAATGGAAATAAAAGAAACAATCGTAAGGTAAAAATAATATGAAAAGACAAGCAATACCTGATACAGTGTAGCACATGGGAAGAGGAACACAAACAGCTGACAAGAGAGGAGACTATTTATGAGAGAAAAGATGATCGATGGGAGATAGATCGACGAGTATTTGACGACTAACTAGGGAGGAAAACCAAACCCTAACGGGAGAGGAAAGGGGTCCATCTCCGGGTAATCGCTAAACTGGATAGAACTGTGTTTTTTGAGGAGAGTGAGAGTTGAGCACATCATAAAGAAAAGGATGAGAGGAAAATAGCCGACGAGAGTATGTTAGGGTGCGAGAGGTCTGGAAATAAAAGACGGGAGGAGAGATCGGCAAAAGTCATCGGAAACAACTAACGACGAAACAGGGAGAGTGGAGAGGCATGAGAGAATGGTGCATACATAGTACTTCAAAATTGGAATGCGAGGGAGATAAAAGGGCGAGGTCTAATTCAAATCAATCTGTGCAGGAGGAAGGATAGGTCTAAGTGGCATGGGCACCGCATTTAAGACTATTTCTGATGTTAGAGAAAAATTAAAGTATCAAACTGATGAAAACGGATATTATTCGAAAAAAATCCGAATTTTTTTTTTTTCTGAAACATCACCCAAGAAAAAGATGTTAATTCAGTTCATCACTTTGTGAGACGTCATTAAAGGTTTCCAAAATGAATACAAAATAATTATAACAAAAAAATCAGATAAGTTCTTGAACTGTATTCTTTCTCTTCAGTTCTAAGGCTTTAAAACTGCATTTACAATCTACAAAACTTGTGTCTACAAAACTTGAGCAACATAACTGTATATATATATATATGTATATATATATATATATGTATTTATATATGTATATATGTATATATATATGTATATATGTATATATATAAATATGTATATATGTATATGTACATGTACATATGTATATATGTACATGTACATATACATATATATGTATATATATATATACATATACATATATATATATATACATATATATATACATATATAAATATATATACATATATATATATATATACATATATACATATATATATAAATACATATATATATTTATATATAAATACATATACATATACATATATATATGTATGTATGTATATGTATATATATGTATAGACTAAGAGAACAAGGAGTTAATATCTGTATTATCAAGTGCTGAATGATATGAAATTTTCAGTTAGGTGTGCTTCAAATATATCTTGATGCATTCATTTGAAAAAATATAAAATTTATAAGTTCATACACATTTTAATGCAAAATTTTCATCCTGTAGAAATGCATGAAGTATTAGAAAAGAAATATATCATTTCTGTAGACCACCTCGCAAAACCAGATGATTAGTAGTAATGATGAGATGAAATTTGAATGTAAGTCTACACCTGCTGCCGAATATTCATGGTGAAATAAATATCAGTAAAAGCAATATGCTCAATTAATTGGAATAAAAAAATAGTCTGTGTTCTCTCTAAATATCAGGTGTCCTTCAAAATCCATTTCATATTGCATAAAACACACTAGCTTTGCTTATCAACAACTAATCTCATGTGAGCACAATGTAAGGGCTAAAATCTTATCTGGGAAGTGTCCTCGTTACCGTCATATAAAGCACAGAAACCAATGAAATGGAGAAACCTTGCGTATATGTTAAGATCAAGCAAAATTTGTCAATTGGTTACAATTTAGAACTAGTCAGGGCATAGCCTATATTGGATGAAGCATTTGTCATTCAACAGTTGCAGCAACAAGGTGCAAAATTCTTATTGTACAAAGTCAGCTGCCCTAATAAAGCTAATTATATAATAAGAGGTGCATAACAACAATGAAGAGTGATGCTAATAACTAAAAATGGTTGCTGAATGGCTGACATGTTCTCCACATGGTGCACCTCAAAGTTCTGAAATTTGTAATTAGTATCTTTAACCCAACACTATCTGCTGGTACCTATCCTGTAGATGTATTTTATATTAGTTCTGTTAAAGGGCATACTTGATCAGTCACCAGTTCTAACCGAAGAAATGATTACATAGTAAAACTGAAAGGATCAGTAACCAAAATGATTGGCAATGCAAGTCTCCTCGCCAACTCCCTTTAGGATGCTGGATATCAGGACGGTCATCTAAGTGGTTAAAGACAGTAACTGAGCTTTTAGCTGCAAGCAGCGAACTAGAAAAAATAAATAAATAAATTGCAAGCGTTAGAAAAGAAAAGAAAAAACTACAAGCCACATTTATCTGTGCTGATTTACTCTGTCATATCACACTTCACTGCGTACCAAATGGATCGGTGTAGCCACTCAATGCAGGAGAATGTGAATGAAGATTCTGATAACTTATCTTCTCAGGTGTATCATTTTGCCCAGGAAGATAACAAGACTGAATATCAAGAGATGACAATGAATCGACGGACTCCACCACCTCAATACCCTCAGATACAAGGCCATAAGCTTCTCAGTCAATCAAGATTTTTACTGGGACTATCTTGGTGTTGGTGGCATTTTCCTGCAGCAAAGCAGAGATTGAAAGTTGCAACGAAAAGAAAAGAGTAAATGATGGTTTTTCTTTACTCATATGGTTGAGATGACTAGAAGGGGTGGGGGGCTTTGATTATTGTCACATACCTTTATTTTCATCTGTAACTTCTGGAGCAGTTCTTAGCGGTTTCTGGCACATGATGGTATCTTGAAAATTTAGAAGGGTGTATTCCAAGAGATTTAGTCTCTCATAGTTGCTCATCTTTGTAAATCCAAAGGAGCTCATCCATGTTTCTATAAGTGTTTGGACTGCTGGTATGCACAGCCTTTCAACACCTAACGCAGAAAGTAACTGGACAAGAACTCAAAATTGAATCCATGAGCAGCAATTTTAACTCTGTATACATCACATGTTCAAGTAGGATAATCTCACTTTCCAACCAAGAATATAAATACATCAACTTGTGTACTTTTGGCAGTTTAAATGTAATAATGCCCGCCACATGTATTTAATACAAACATCTGCAATAAGTTGGCTATCGACAAATATATTCCCAAGTGAGGCAATCCAGACATTTTTCCTAGTTACTTGCCATGTTAACTTTACTACCTGTCCATCTCAACAGTCATATTGACCATGCTCATCTTATACTACTTTATGTATTCCTTCAGATTTTCAATTTCCAGTAATCAAACAAAATTCTGGATGAACTTTTGGTGCAGCCACATGTATAACTATTCAGTGACTTCATCAATATCCTGATTCTTCTCTATGGTTTCCGCAGGACAAACAAAAATGTCTGACACTTTCTGCCATCAATTTTACCACTGGTTGCCCTTTTTGGTCTGTCTGCTGATACATATTACATTTCGTAAGCTACCCCTTGAAGATTCTGCTTTTTCTTTGACTTTTAATGTAAAAAATGATATCTCTTAGTGGTGAATGAGGTATAAACTTACATAATTATCATTCAATTGCTTCTTTGAACTGTTGCTTTAAGATTAGATGTTAATCAATTCTCATTAACAAATGTTTGTTAATAACATAAATGGATGAGATGAGCAAGGACTTTTTTCATTGATACACTACAGGTTACCTGCCATGGAACTCAATTATTTATCTTTCTGAATCTACACATATGTAGGGGCCACCTTACTCTCTGTATCTTTCTTTTCTTTATCTGACAAACAACATCCACCAGTAACAATCCTAATATAAATCAAATTTGATACAAAGAATTCTTTCTTTTTAATTGACAGTCATTATTCTCACCGGTCACAACATCAATCTCATCAATCAAATACTTTGGTATTTCTCAGGCACAATGCATTTTTAACTTTTTTGATATTTAATTAAATATGCTACAATATGAACTTCAGGCCAGTTTTCATATGGTTAAACCCTCATTTAGAATTTTATCTTGCCCTACAGAAATGGTTTGACCTTTGCATCATTCTCAAAGCTTTCATGTGTTTTAAACTGGTCAAAGATTTGGAGGAAATACTTCCATTTCTGGGATTAAGTTATCATTCTCCTGTCATTAAAATACTATAACATTCAACTATAAAGCAACTAGGTATTCTTGGTTTTCAACCAGTGGTAACTTTTAAAATTTTACCTTTTCAAGTTCATCCAAAATAATGTGGCACATTCCTTGTCGGCGATATTTGGCACGCGTACCAACAAGAGGCATTTCTGCAATCTTTTCACCAAAAACCCTAGATCAAGAACATGTAAATAATGCTATTAAACACTAAAAAATAGTAGGTGGTCTTTCAGTAACAAATTAGTTCATCAGCTGATGATACCTAAATGTAGCCATTGATATGATCTCATCTCCTCTCACCAAAAGCATAGTATAAAAGCCCCAAAAGTTTAATCTGTTCAGCTCTGATCTGCAACAGAATGGATATGATCTCAGGAACATGAGAACTGACATACTTTGCATCATCAAAATACATCTTAAGAGAGGCACAGAGAAAGCATATGGGTTTGAAATCAGATAGGCTATTGTAAGTTGATAAAGGATAATATTGCAACATTGTGAAATTTAAAACTTCCATAAATTTGACGCAAGTGGTCTTTTAATTTTGCACAATTTATATCCAATAGGACATATAATCCATTTGGTTAGGTTAAAATTTCTTGTGAGTTGTGATTCATGTGGATATCAAAGTTGGTCAATATCACAGGTTTCTTAGCTTTATTTCTGATCAATTGACCAATCTATAAGGTAAATTAAACAATCTCAGTATTCCATCATGAGAATGTTCATGTGGCGTAACACAATTGTTGAAACAAATAGCTGGATCAGTTGTGAACCAAAATTAGTTTACTCGAATTATGAGTATTCCATGAATAAATAATTAAACATAGTTGCTCAGTTGGCTGCCATTGAAGCCAGGAATAATCATTTTTATTATGTTGTTTGCAATTTACTCAAGGGTTTTGGCATTGTCCCATGAGAAAAAAATGGAAAACTTGGCTTGGTAAATGATCTACTCAAAGTCTGCAAAGGGAAAAATGGACACTCTCATCAAAGTTAAAAGATTCAAGGCTTGATTCATGCGGATCTAGCCTAGATCCACATAGATCATACATTCATTTTCATTGATCTAACTTAAATCCATATGGATCAAGCCTTGATTTTTGAATAATTTATTTGCTATGGTCTGCAATGATCGCATGTAAATCTAGGCTAGATCTGCAAAAATCTATCATAAATCCATGCAGATCTGGGATAGACCTCCACATACCAAGTGTTGATTTTCATGGATCTAATGTGTAAATTTGCATGAAACAAAACTTGATTTCCATGAATCTAACCTAGATATATATAGAAAAGGCCTTGATTTTCATAAACTAGTCTAAATCAGTTATGATTTCTTTATAGATCCATGTGGTCCTAGGCTACACCCTTGAAGATATCATATAGATCCATACGGACTTGATATGATAGCATGGCCATCATTTGTAGCACTGCGATAATTGACAGTGCATCCATTATGACTATATTGGTCAGAATGGAAGAATAATAATCTAAATCAGCATTTAATTGGTGGAATTTTCAAGACAGTCAAATACATGAATATGTTGTAAGAGATTGGAAGAGCTTTTATAGCAGAGTTGGATGTCTGGAAAGCCCTAGAAATAGCACAATGGAAGTAATTTAACAAATGCCCATCTAAATTTGTGGTGTATGGTCGATATGGAAATAGTGGGGATGATGTCAACCATGATCTCAAACTTGCAGCCAATATTGTGCATCCTTTAACAATATATGCATGGGGAGGCGATGAGACATCGACCATTGGACTCTTTGTATGAATATGGCATTGATATGATAGTGGCAGCGGTCTGATTCAGTTCAATCAGTCTTCCATAATAATACAAACTACTTGTAGTGGTGCATATGATTAAACAAGATTGTCAGCATGAGACAACCCAGTGACCTTCTGACTTAAGTATGCTAGTGAATGTGATGCATACCTGAGGTGGCACATAGGAATTTCCTAGTTCATTCAACAGGAGATCAGCTCCTGAAATTGTCAATTTGGGCCCTATGACTTTCCATCACACATTGTAAAACAAATGTGTACTCAGTGATGTACATACTGAGGAGAGAAAAAAAAGGGCTATAGGAAAAACCAAGAACTATCATCTTGTACCAAACCACTTGTATTGGTCCCCATGGCTGAACCAATACATACCGGTTGGTATAGGTGTACTAGCACATGATACACTAATATTAACCGAAGACTCGAAGAGGAAGAAGGAGAAGAGGAATCAATAGATGGCGGTGGAGGAAGAGGAGGATCGTTAAAGGAAGAGGACGAGGCGATGGCGGAAATGGAGGAAGAAGGAGGATGAGGAACGAAGAAGAAGAAGCCAGCCATTGAGGAAGAGGAGGAAGCATACCTGAAATTGGCGGTGGGCGGCAGGTATGCTTCCAAGTATTCTATCACAAACCTAAGGATTAAGAATGTATCCGACACAAACCTAAGAAATAACTAAGTATTTTATAAACATAATAATTATGGATGTAAGTCATTGAAATTATCCGAGGCAAATGGATAAGGACTTTAGATTATTACAAAAATAGGAAAGAGCAGATAAGGTTTGGATCTTAATTTTCCGAGATATTTTGCATGGCTTCATGGTGCTCGAAGATTTTAAACTGTAGGTAAGTGAATATAAAGTTTACATATGAGCTAGGAGCTCAAGATTCCATTGGCTTCTCATAAAAAGCGAGCAACCAATGAAGTAGTTCCCAAATGTTAGGTATATGTAAGTCTAATAAAAAGATGACTATGTTCTTTTGAGCTTCCCAAATTGAAAATAAATTAATTACAATTGTCAGAAAATGTACTATCAAGCTTTAAAAAAAGTTGTAAGTCTATTGCCCATTTTCTTCGTAATTAAAATAAGAAAATCAGGCTCATACTAGAATAAAATAACCAAAATTAATGTCACCTACTTCATAATAGGTAGAATTTAGACATGCAACAAAAGCAGCAGGAGGAATAAACATGAGGATTATCAAGGGTGTTAGAAAATGCTATTTAAGTATACTAAAACAGTCATAGTTCCATCATTACATTTGCATACAGGAGGTGTAAACATCTCATGTATAGGCTTGCGAAGTTTAAATGAAAGAAAAATGAGCTGTTTCAACTATCAACTACATGTATTTTTTACCATAATTTTTTAATAAAATCTCAAGACAGATTCTAATGCCACTACAAAAAACAATGGAGTTTTATTTCAACAGAATAACATTTGAAAAAGATCCTTTGTATTACTATATTCTTCCTTAGATAAGGATAAAAAAAAATCAACACAAAATTTGGGACTCCATGAAAAAATAAAATACAAACAAAGAAACAGAGATAGAGAAATATGTGACAACAATTTTGCTAGCAATTTCAGTGTATGTAACTTCTTTAGACATGGTGCAAAATCATCAAGAGGACAAAGAAAATGAAGAAAACATAAATATAAAGAATATAAGAAGAATCTCACTCTTTATTCATGAGAAGATCAGCTAAAAGATCACTCTGGGTACGAGGTTCAATAATAGACACAAAGCATTCATGCAATAACTTTTGTGCAATATGGAGCTTTCTGCAATTCCTAGAAACAGTCGCAAAATCAATTTGATTGAGATTGGCATCAGTCTCTGTCTTAGATCTCAAAAGAACCCATGAAAATCCTTCTTTTGTTGTTGGATTTGATTTTCCAAGAAGATTGCGCAAATGTAAAAATATCTGCAGATAAGGTGCTCATGAAGATTTTGTTTTTCGTCAAGTAAATGGAATGAAAATAGTACAAGTTAGTCACAATCAGTCCGTATGACATGTATGTTGGTTAATTGTGATCAAAAGACTTTAAAGTGAATTGCATAAATAGATCATGTTATACATATATACATGAGAGTGCATTGTAGAATAGATATCAAATGATTGTCCTCATTAAATACAAGTAGAAAATTTTAAGGATCACTAACTTGAAAGGAATTGTTCATCAGTATTAAAATACGTTTGATATATAATGATTTTCATGTTGCTTGGAGAGAAAATATGCTTTGTTGAAATATAGATAACATAAACCAACCAGTCAAACCATAGATACTCGCAAAGAGTCAGAGGAAAGAGGTAAGAAAGAGGAGCTACATAAATAGCTATCCAATTCATTTTTTGTTTGTCCATATCTTTAAGTTTTTATGAGCCAGTTAATGTTAGAGAAGCATGAGTATTTTTCAATATACCTCTGAACACTTCTTGCTGCAAAACCAATTTCCAGTAGGACAATGTTTTAAATTAGTTCCTCTCCTTCTCAAGCATCCAACATGATCTAGAGGGGAAAAATCACCAAGTCAGATCTGAACGATTTATTATTAGAGAGAGAATGGATAGACATCTTACATTTGCGTTCGCACTGATCACAATACAACATAGTCTTCGCTGTAAATTGGTCAGCAGAACTGAATGCACCTGAGGCACATATACCACATCGACACGATGGACAAAACCATTTTCCCTTTGGCAGATCCTTCATGCAACCGACATAAAAAAGGTTATGGAAAATAAGAAATACTTTGATTTGGCTACTAAAAAGATTGCACCTCAGCAACATTTCAAGGGGTTTGGATGAGCAAGTAAGCCTTGTTTTTTTTTAAATTGAGAAAGCAAGACAAAATGAACTTCCGAAAAGAAAATATAACATGAACAAAAAATTCATTTTGATAAGGCATTAATCTTGAAATATAAAGGCAATTTTTTGTTCTAAGTTGAGATTGAAATGAACCTGCCAACTAGTAAGACAGGCACATTTAAATCCTGTTTTCTTGCAACAAAATTCTTTGACACTAGTCAACTGAAAATGTAGAGCATCATTGTCATAAGATAAAGCACAAAAGCTGCATAAGCAAAACAATTAATGCAAGTAATGACATAATTTGTGAGCAACAGATTGTCAAGCATTAAAGTTCAACTAGCTATTAAAGATTGAAATCAAAGGAGAAGAGAATAGGGAAGGGTCAAGGATAAAAGTAACTGAAAAATCTATATAAAAAAACTTCATCAAATAAATGGTATAATGCAACTACATTTGATGAGAATAATATTTTGCATTAATGTCTTAAACAAGGTATCAGAGCTCGATTGTACCGGTCTAAGTATAGGTATAGAAATATATAGCTCAATAATGGTACAACACCTCTGATTTTTATTTATTAATATATAATTTTACTCAATAATATTGAGTTGTATAGGTCAGTATACTACATGGTGTACCAGTAACATACCAGTCTGATAGGTAATCTAAACTGGTTTTTGACCTAGATTTAAATCCTGGATATCAATCATTTTCAATAAAAATAAATCTCATTTAATATTTAAGAAATCAAATGAAGAAATCACCTTTAGTCCAACACAACCTACATGGAATGCTGATGGGCAATGATCACATAGCATCAGTGTACCACCATATTGACAGACAGAACATACAGAGTCACTTTGGCTGTGAGCATAAACATGCTTTAGCCTTGGATGTGGGAAGTTTATGAGGTCTTTTCCATACACCATTTGTAAGTGGCACTGTAGTAAGGACCTTCCATCAAGCAAGAATGTGTTCGCACCAGGTTTGCACTTGTCGCTGCCAGCATGAGCTTCGAATCCAGTGAGACTATGCAACTTTCTACAACATCTGCATTTAATCCCATCATGAGTTATGTGTCCTTCCATCAAAACATGACCATCTCTCTTAGAAATGTAGCGCACCTTCTGCCTAGCTAATACTATACGATTCTCAATTAGCATTGACCAGGTTGCTTCAACTACCTTTTGGGTGGGAGATGTTACTGGAACAAATTGGCATCTTTCACTTAACTGCTGTTCAGGCTGTAAGAAAATACTTCCTGCTTCATAACCTTTGCTTCTAAGGTCTTGTACCTTTCTTTTCTTTGATTTCTGGGAGCAATAATGTTCTAGAAGTCTTCTACATCCTACAACTTTCAGAGGTAACAAAGAAGAGATTTTGATTCCTGTCTTTGACTTTTTAAGTTTTTCCAAACATGAATTACCAAATCCTTCTCCACATTCTGGAGAACTAAATACAAGTATAGATCTATTTTCGGTGCCATTATTTGACACCTCATCAGATTTCTGGAACTCATCAGGGTCCATTGAAGTGGAGAAACACTGATTTTTGCACAGAAGACTTACCTCCTTCGAATCATTAATTTTATTTCCAATTGATGCACACCAAGAATTTTGGCTAACATTTGTACCTTTAAGAGAACTTCCATATGTTTTTCCCATATTTTCTTCTTTTTCCAAGTAAGCCTCACAGGCTGTATAAAGAGAATGAAAGATCTCACCACCAGGAGAAGCAAAACGTAGTTTTCTTCTCCTTTCAGCAAATCTCCAGCCCATGTACAAGAGATGCTTCTGAACATTTAACTTCATCAGTTCAATATCCACGTTAGGTAGTTTCTCAAAGCCTTTCTCTCGAGATGATTCAATGTATCTCTTGTAATTTGAAATAGCTTGAGGGCCGTATTCTGGTTCAATATGCTTATAAGTAGGAACATTTTCAGAAACAATTAACTCAAGGTTTTCCTTCCCCGAAACAGAACTGTCTGGTTGCTTGCTTTCATGAAACTCATCTGGATGTAGCTTCATCCTGACAGAGTCAAGAAGGCTGTGTGAATTATCAGGTAGTTTGGAGAAGGGTCTAAGTCTCTCAAGTTTTCTTTCTGTCTTCATACCTATGTTAGTTTGGAATTGCCTAAAACAATGGCCAGAATGATCTGACGTTCGTTCAGTCCCCATAATTGATGGATGCTCCAAAAAATTTTGCACGAGGGATGCTAGTTCTGGACACACGTTTCCTGTCTTTGAATCAGGTTTGCCGAAACCAGAGCAATTTCCAAAAGATTTCCTCCCTTGCTTGCAACTCTGATCCCCCTCAAGTTCTCTTTTCAACACATCTATGCAGGCCTTGCGAAGATTATAATAGTTTTTTCCTTCGGGTGAGACAAAACGAACTCTTAATAATCTATCTCTTCTATATTCGATCTTCCAGCCCAGAGCAAAAAGATGCTTCTTCACTTTTTCAGCTACCTTCAATGGTTTAACCTGAGAATCCCTATCAGCAGATCGAAAGGCATAAAAAGCAACTGCTTCTGGGCAGCGCTCAGCTTCAGCATATAAAGATTGCCAAGATGTTTGTCCTGTTCTGTTCCCTGTATCTTCCTCCTTATTGTTTTGATGACTAAAAGGACTAATAACCTTAATGCAAAGTGCATCAGATTGCAGATTATTATTGGCCTCCTCATACTTCATATCCCGAGGTTCTGTAACCTTACATGGTTCAAATGCTTTTACCATATCTCTGCGATGATTCCCATCAGGTGAAACTTCATTTATGGAATCAAACTTACTTTTCTTAAACTTTTGGGCTACTGTTGGAATAGAAGCTTTTGCTTGGTGCTGCATGTCTCGGCATCTTCTTTTTTTATGTGAACCATGAGCAAATACCACCTCTTCATGGTATACAAATGAACTAGGGATTCCAGATTTATCATTTTGAACATCCTCTACATCTGATGTTTCAAGGACATTATTCTGCTCGTCATGGTTCCACTCGGATGAGTTTCCATTGCCTTGAACAAAGCAATCATCAGGTGTGAGCAGCTGTGAGCACTGAACTTTATCCATTATCCTAACTGGTCCAGAAAGTATGCCAGCAGTATCACTTTGAATCAGACTTCCTACCTGACGAGGAACATCATCCGATGGAATCTCATCATTACCAGAATATGTGGGAGCATCAACGGGTTGGTCATATGAAACCTCTGATAGGACATGTACAACAGATAGCAATTCTCGGATCAACCCTGATACCAACTGCTCCCAAACTGATAGAGATCCAAACATCCACAATCCAATCTTTTCCCTAAAAGAAACCATTGTGCTTAAGTCATACCAGATTTCTCTTATCGAGACTGGCAGGGCATCTTCCTCCTCGAATGCTTGAAGCACTTGAAGCAACAACCACCCACCGCGTGGCTTCCAATGCCCGTATGTTTCATTCCAATCTTGGGTGAGACGTAAATGGTCGACCATGACCATCTGCTGGTCACCCTGGTCAGGGAAAAAGATCAACCTCTTTGTTGAGCCTTCTTCATGATCAAAAACCACACCTTCCCACCAGGCATCATCCACTAAGGCATCCACACAGAGCCCATATCTCATCTCAAAAATCTGGATATCATAATAAGGCGGCAAGGGCCTAATTAGGCCACGATAATTCTTTGGGTTTTTTCTAGCCTGGCCCTCTACAGCAGCCGATACAAGGATCATCTCTTGAAGATTCGAACCTTCATCCTCACATAACAAATCTCTATATTCAATGAGTCGGGAGCATCCTTGACAACTGATGACAGTCCCTGCGTGCCAAGATCCTCTCAGTCCTTCCTCACAACATAATACCTACGAAGGAACAATCAAAACACGCTGACCAAAGCGAGAATGGAGAGTATGAAACTTCGCGATCAGAAACATGTTAGTTTCATTCGAAGTAAAGATTGTATATTCTTTTACTCGTAGAAAAAATACGATAGAGTTAGAGATGGAACGCATAACATCAAAACGAGATGAAAGTAAATCCCTAGACAGCACAAGAACATGAAAAAGTAAAATTTTGAGGAGCTGCAGCAATAACCCCACATCCGATTTCCAATATATAAGAGATCAAACGGCAGGCACCATTCAGATTTTATGTAACACGATGTCGCAAGGAGCAACCGATACCGAGGTTTTCTTCCTTGAATCCTCAGGATATCATAGATAGAGGATGAGAAGAGATCAAACAGAGATAAAATCAATGGAGCGCAACTAAGAATTCACATTTGGGAACTAAAATGGATCGCGTCCAATCAAAGGAGAGGGATGGTGGGGAGAGAGGGACCATGCCTCGACGTTCTCTCCAGGAAGCAGCTTTCTCTGGCCGTACCCCTTCTCCCTCCTCGTCCTCTTCCTCTTCCTCTCGTCGGAGCCGCTCGCCATTGATGTCGGCGAAGACGTTCACACTTGAGAAGACAAGACGAGGGAGAGATGGACGATAACCAGCGGGCGTTTAAAACGAAGGTCGCAATAGAAAAGAAGGACGCTTTCCTGTATCGTCTAAAACTCACAGTATAAATTGTACCAAACAAGAAATTGCCACGTAGACCAATCGATTATATTGGTAATTCCAACAATGACGTGTACGTTAGTTGTTGTCGCACGTACCGTAAGCGTCTACCTATCGTTACAGCGGAACACTGCGTCGCGCTGAGCCAGGGGGAGCGCTTCTTCTGGAGGAGGATTTATTGTGGGATCGGAACTGCTACAAAGCCATCGTTTTGTTTGGGATTGATTCATCAGCCCCCGTCAATGTGTTGTCACATAAAAGCTAATTTACACACCCAAAGAAGAAACCCGATCGATCATAACCATCAATCTAACCAACCTGATGAGATTTCATCACCATCACATCTGAGAAAATCAAGTCATAAATTGTTATAATTATCAACATATCAAAAACAAACCGAATCAGTTTTTGCATTGGCTCGATTTTTCGGTTTTTTCTCGGTTCATTTTGCCGCACTTAAACCGGTCAATATTTCATAAGTCAACAATATCTTGTGTTTATAGGAGATTTGGTTAAGCATTCTATTATTACCTATATATCACATAGGTAAGAGTTTCATATTGCTATTTATTGACACACTCAAAATCTTCATGCAAAATATTCTACCATTAATGGGAAGCAATTCAATGTAAATTAACGCCATCGAGACTCAACCACTTTCATCTAAATTATTACTTTGGGTTTTACATATAAAATAGCATGTGCAATTTAAATTTTACATATATATATATATATATATATATATATATATAAAAGTAATATAAAGTGATGAATGTCAAAAATATAATAAGTAAAAAAGACTATGTGTCAAGTCACACGTGTCATCACTCACGTGATTGACTTGCAGAGAATAATTTAAGTGTTTATGTACACTTGTATTGAATCATATAATCATTAGATATAGCAAGAGCATAACACCAAATTGATAGATGAAATCATGGTTATAAAACAGTCGATTGATCCACATAAATCATAGAGTTAACAATTAAATCATATTAAAAAAATCAAAATCATTATGAAGATCATAAGATCAGATCCTTTATTGATTCAAGCACATCGTTTCCAAAAAAAAAACAAGTAATTGAGTTTAGATTCCACCATAAGAGCGGAGTATACAAAGAAAATATAAGGAACTGTATCCTAAAATAGGTTGCAGATATGATATGATATCAACAACCAAGATGAAGTTGTGAGCCGATGTCAATAAGCTTTCAAAGGGAAGGGATATTTTTACTTTAGTAGCAGTATATTGAGAGCCCACCTTACCTTCCTACCAATCCATATTGCTGTCAATAAGGATTTTGTTGTCTTTTGTAAGCAATTTTAGTACTATTGACAACAAAAGGATGTTGCATCCATATCCACCTATCAATATTTTTGAAAGGAATTTTAATATTAATCAACGTTACAGGTTATTATAGCAATGATCAAATAATGAAAATTAAATACAATGACATATCAGTAAGTTTATCACAAAAGAAGCATTTTAATAACCTGAAAATATACTAATCATTAGATATAGCAAGAGGGAGCATGATACAAAATTGATAGATGGAATGGAATCACGATGGTTGCAGAATAGTCATTTGTTTCGATTGATCCACGTAAATCAAAGAGAACTAGTTAGTAGTTAAACCATATAGGAAAATACCATAATCCTTATCAAGATTAGATCCTTTATTGATTCAAGCATATTGTTACCAAGAATTGAAGAATTTGAAGCAACAATTGAGTTTAGATTCCACCAATCTCCAGTAGAAGCCTATAAAAAAATATATGAGAAACTGAATCCTAAAATAGATAGTAGATATGGTATGAAAATATTAGGAGTATACTATCACAAATGATCTATGACTTAATTCAAAAGAAAATAATCTATGACTTAATATTGTTAAAAATACATGAAAGTTTTTTACTTTTCAGGAGGATATTGCACATCATCATTCTTTCGGATATTAAAATTATTTTTTTTCTTTATCGATAGTCATGCTCACCTCAACATTCCCTTTTAAAAACTAATGCTAAGTTTTAACTCGAGGAAATGCGAAATTGGAAATGAAGAAGTGGAAGCTTGTGAATGGGCAAACATATATATTGTTTGCAGTCAGGATTTCTTTGTAAACAACATATTTAACCACTTCTAGTTATGATTGCACTATATATGCATTCACAGAGTAGCTGAATTATTTAATAATTACTATCATTATAATTATACAAATGGATATAAATATCAGTAAGACTGATATCCATGCAATTTTGCCCAGTTCTTATTATGCTTGAAATTTTTGGTGCACCGGTGGCTGACTCGTCGTCTCATCATTTACTTTTATGGAGCTTCGACTTCTGCTGCGGTAGCTGTCTTCCTCCTTCATGACCACAAGTTCATCAACCTGTTGTGCTGATCAATTGCATTATCGCATTCAACA